CCCCCCCAGCGCTCTGTTTGAGCATAGCAGGGTGGTTCTAGTGCGCTCTTTGACACAAGTCTTCCCTAGCAGCCTCCAGGTGTTGCTGCTGTGCTGTTTTTCAGATATTCTGAGTACTTCTGACAGTGTTTAGCATCTAAGGTATCCATAAGCAATAACCAGTTGCTGTTGAGTTGACTGCTCCTTGGGGACCCCATGTGTGTCAGAGTGGAACTGTGCTCCACAGGGATTTTGGTGGCTAGTTTTTCAGAAGTAGATCACAAGGCACCTGTGGATAGACTTGAACTTCCAACCATTTGATTAGCAGCCAATCAGGTTAACTGCCCTGGCCAGGGGCTCCTAAGGTGTCCATAGTGGGGGCTGTCTCGGGGAGTCAGCCCTCCCTGGGCCCTTATTTGTCCAGAAGACAAAGAGCATAGACCCATGGGGTCTTGACCAGTCAAGGCCTCATTTCTCCAACACGGGCCGAGGTGGACCTACTGAGGAGAGCTCTGAGATCCTCCTTGGATCACAGACTTGCCTGATGTGGGACATTGCTGCTCCGAGTTCCAGGACCTTGAAGTCCTGTTGTGATAGACACAGTGAGAGACCGAGGTGACGCATAGGAGTCTGCTGGAGTTCCAGTCAGCCACCCTCCTGGTTTGTCTGAACATTCCTTATTCTGTGTGAGGGAAAGAGGGGCCACCATGAGTGACGATGGAGGCTGTGCTCAGCCCAAAACTGCGTTAATGGACCCTCCAGATAAAACCATCCTCCGTTATCCTGATCCCAGTTTCCTGAGCGCAGCCCAGGCTCCCTGGAGAGGCAGGACATACCAAGTAGTTTGCCATCTCTGCTAATTAAGCTTTAAATAAATCAAAGAAGGCTTGTTTTCATTTACCTTGGATTGTAGAGCAATAGTATTCTTGTTTATGTTGCCCATGGAGGCCGTACCCACTAATAGACCCCACATTTCTGACATGCAAATGGCTTAGGAAGTTTCCTCCTTGGCCCACCATGAGGCATTCCATGCTCCACCCCCTGGAGAGGGAGGAAGATTGTCCCTCCCACCCCCACCACCATGGTGCTGCTGCTGTGTTTCAATGTTGTTAGTTGCTGTCACGGTGACCTCTGACCCATGCTGACTCCATGCACAACGGAATGAAATGCTGCCCAGTCATGCACCGTCCTCATGATTGGTTCGTTGTGATCCGTAGGCTTTCCATTGGCTGGTTTTCAGATAGAGAGCACCAGGTCTTTGTTCCTGGTCTTTGTCTAGAAGCTCGGCTGAAGCGTCATAGCCACACGCAAGCACAGTTCCACAGACAGACAAGTGCTGCCTGTGCCGTGAGTGCACTGGTCAGGAATCCAACCTGGGCTTCTCTCAGGGAAGGTGAGAATTCTACCACTGAACCGCCAGTGTGGTCTAACAAGGAGAGAAGGTGAAATTCTTCTTGCCTCATTTGCTGTTTTCTGTTTGTCTGATCCCCAGCCTTCTTTGTGTCCTTTCTCCTCAGCATGAGTCTTTGATCTGGGAAAGGAGAAAGGACTGAGAAATCCCTAGGACAAGAGAGGTAGGAGGTGGCCTGAGGATAAACCCACTGTCCTTGCCTCACCGCCCCCTTCCTCCCAGCTTCTGCCACACAGTGCCCCCTTCCTCACACAGCTTTCACCAAATAGTGCCCCCTTCCTCACAGCTTCTGCCACAGGGCACTCTCTTCCTCACAGCTTTCACCACAGGGTACCCCCTTCCTCACAGCTTTCACCACAGGGTACCCCCTTCCTCACAGCTTTCACCACAGGGTACCCCCTTC